ATGACTCCATTCAAGCAAATAATGCCAATGGTAAGAATTAGCTATGTTATCATATATTACTTAAGTTAGGGTTGAAGATTTATCTACCTAAGAATGTTACTTCAGAATTTAAGATGATGCGATTAAAGTTTGGCCAGACATTCTTCAAAGTGGGATCAATCATGATGAGCAACCCTCAGTCTCCATCCATTGATAATATCAAATCTGTATTGCGTACATACGACAAAACATTAAGACCTCAAGTGGCTCAGTGTCAAGATATCCGTGACCTTTTAGAATTAGTTTGTGATAACTGTCAGCTTGATGATATTAGTATGCTAGAGTTTTTTGTTGATGAGTTCAATATAGAGGAGGCTAAACCAGTTGTTGAGGAATATAAAGAAGCTATTGAGGAGCTAATGGAAATGAAACTCAGTCAAAGTCTAGAAGAACAGCTTTCATATGTTTTGCCACTTGAGTGTGAAATAATTACCATTTTTGTTGATAAAGACGCTCATGAATCAGTGCTCAAGGATGTCCAGAGACTGTCATCAGATGTATTTGAGAATTTATCACCACATCTCAGATTAAATGTCATTAGAGGCGGCAATTCTTTCACTATCACTTGTTCCTTCCCATTGATTCTATCTGAGCAGTTAATTAGAACTGCTCTCAATAATATTGATGTATTGAAAGAAAACAAAGTGAAGAGATTAACCATTGGATACTGCACTGTGTATGAGGTAAATAGACTATTTATGAACTGATTTTATTATTAATAACAGGTAAATGATACCTCCACTCCTACTAAATGTGGTTTAATGAAACAAATGATGCTGTCATTGAATGTACAACTGATTAACAGTACAGAGGTAGGTGATTACTAAGTCAAATAAATTAGTCAAGCATATACGTTTGATCCTATTAACATAGTTTTTAACTTTCATTTCACAGGAAATTGCGATAATTAAAAAAGAAGCAAAGGAAAAAGCAGAATCATCAAAGAATGAAGCAGATTTGTTGAAGAAAGAAGCAGAGTCACTGAAGGAAACACTGCATACTAAAAAAAAAATGTTGAGTGCAGCCTATAGAGCAGAGAGTGATAAGTTTGAAAAAAAAGCAGGTATAAATAAGTGTCCTTGCAATAGTTCATTAAATTTATTATAAGCTGAGACAAAGCGGTTACAAGAGAAAGTATCACATTTAACAGAACGTGGAGAAGTTAGTGAGAATTTAAACTACCGTCTATCTGGAAATTTTTACTGTGATTTAAATTTTACTGCATTAGAATTTCGCAAAAAAATAGATTACCCATATAATTACATGCCACATTCAATAATACATGACACAGTCTTATTTAGTAAAAATTAAGTCACAGCACAATTTTAAACCGCAAAAATTTCCTACCACACTAATTTCCTGATCTATGGCATTTCAGTCATTGTTATGATAATAATAGGAGAATGAGAAACTAAAAGAAATAAAAGATCTTTTAGAAGAGCAACTTGTCTCATTTCAATCTGAGAAAGAAGGTAATGTACATGATTATAACTAAGTTAATGACTAGAAAAAAATAGCTACTCAAGCATAACACTATATGCATTATTTCATACAGAAGTCATACAACTGGAAAAGTCTTTACAGGAGAAGATTGAGGAGCAAAATGAAGAATTGCAACTACTTAAAGTACAGTTAGCATCTTATCAGGAAGAGAAGGAAGGTGAAGAGGAAAGTTTTGCAGAAGAAATTAAGAAATTACAGTCAGCAACTGATAAAGATGAAAGTAAATAAGATTTTGTGCACTTTTATGTAATTATAATCATAGGAGAGAAGATTGTACAAGGTTTGCTATCACAAAATGAAAAGTTAAAAGGTATTGTGCTTTATAAATCACAAAATATTGTTCTACATGCATCAATTTTAGCGCAATTCGCAAAATATCAAAAAGAGAAGAAAATATTAATTGAGGAAGCTGGTATATACTGTTCTAAAAATGCAATAAATTCATTATAGATATTGTTATTAGATAAGACTAGACAAATTTTGGAAGAGACAAAAAATGAATTGCAATCTGCATTAAAACAAAAAAATGAGATAATCAATGAAAAAGGTCAGCCTATCCTGTGCACATACAAAATTTAATTCAATTTTTTAAATATAATTATCTAGAAAAACTTGCCAAGTCTGAAAAAGTACTAAAGAAAAAGTTATTGTCATTAGAAAAGGAAATGAAAAGTAAGACCATTTTGCCCGGCATAGTATATTTTATAAAACAATGCTGCTAGCAATGAAATTAGAAAATGACCAGTTACAATCAGGTATCATCAAATTAGTTTGTACTAATAATTATTTTAATAATTATTAGAAAAAGAAAAAGTAATTGCTTTGGGCAAAAGTAAAATAAGACAGCTACAAGAAAATGTAAAGATGTCAAAAAGAACTGTTGGTATGTTATCATTATAATTATTATCATTATTTTATTGTTACTATAGCTTATGGTGGACCTCGTCGTAAGTTATTAGAAGAAAATACTAAAATAATGGCTCTTTTTTACATCTAGATCTGACTATTGCACACCTTGCTTATGTAGATGAGTTACTATCGCATCAT